GTGACATTCAATGAGACAACGCAACAAACGGACATTGATTTAGGGAAGATGATATACCAGAGGAAATTGTCAAAGAAGTAAAGAACTTTGAGAACAGACCTAAGTCCAACCTGGACGAGACAAAAATTGTTAGCCTGGGAGATGCAGAAAATGTCAAGGAAACGCGAACCTGTGTTCACTTGTCGCCGTCAGAAAAGAGGGAATACACAGAATTTCTAAAGGAATATGAGGACATAGTCGCCTGGTCATACGATGACATGACTGGTCTAAGTACGACTATTGTGGCCCATAAATTGCCAACCGATCCGACACGTCCCCCGGTAAAGCAGAAGCTTAGGAAGTTCAAGCCTGATATGAGTTTAAAAATCAAAGAAGAAGTCACTAAGCAAGTCAAAGCCAAGGTCCTCAGGGTAGTAGAATACCCGACATGGTTAGCCAACATTGCACAGTCCAGACAAAAGAGTTACGCGGATCAGAAGGCACATGATTTATCATTATGGTGGGGCGAGAAGGTTCTCTTGAAAGTCTTGCCGATGAAGGGGATCATGAGGTTCGGGAAGAAGGTCAAGTTAAGACCAAAGTTTATACGTCCATTTGAGGTGTTGAGACGAGTTGGGGAGGTTACTTATGAGCTTGCTTTGACTCTCAGTCTCTCGGGAGTTCATCTGGTATCATGCCGACAGGTCACATGTGTTAGACTTCAGCACGATTCAGTTAGATGAGAGCCTGGGTTATGAGGAGGAGCCAGTTGCCATTGTTGATAGGCAGGTTCGCCAGTTGAGGTCCAAGAGGATTTTCACAGTAAAGGTTCAGTGGAGGGGCCAACTAGTCGAGGAGGCGACTTGGGAGTCCGAGGAGGACATACGGAGTAGATATCCAAACTTATTCAGCACTCCATGTATGATTCTAGACTCGTTCGAGGACGAATGTTTGTTTAGGAGGTAGAGAATGTAACGACCCAACCGGTCATTTTAGTTTTTAGAACCCCATTCCCCTAAATAAGACTCCCCTTATGTGATTTTACTGTTTTATGACTTGCAGGGATGGTTAATTCGGGATTTAGAAAAGTTCGAGTTGAAATCGGAACACTTGGTTCCTTAAGTTGGCCTTAAAAGGCTAAGTTTGACTTCGGTCAATGATTTGAGTAAACGACCTCAGAATTGGTATTTGACGGTTCCAATAGGTTTGTATGATGATTTCGGACTTGGACGTAGGTTCGGATTGGGTTTTGAATGACCCGGGAGCGTTTCGGCGCCTAATAGTGAAAGTTGGCATTTTGGGTGAATTTCACAAGTTTGGGTTGAAGTGTATTTTTACATTATAGACGTCCGCTTGGGATACCGAGCCTTGGAATAGCTCGGTATGGTGATTCTGGACTTAGGAGCGCGTTCGGATGTGGATTTGGAGGTCCGTAGTTCGTTTCGGGGTCATTTGGCGAAAGCTGCAAATTTGATGTTTTTGGGAAGCTTGACCGAGTGTGGACTTTTTGATATCGGGTTCGGATTTTGATTCCGGAAGTTGGAGTAGGTCCGTAGGTTCATTTAGGACTTGTGTGCAAAATTTGAGGTCAATCGGACATGATTTAATAGGAATCGGACATGCGGATGTGTTTTTAGAAGTTTTGAGTTTCATGAGTTAATTCATGCATTTTGGCATCCGATTCGTGATTTTTGATGTTATTTCGGTGTTTCGATCGCGCGAGCGAGTTTGTATTATGTTGTTAGACTTGTGTAGACATTTGGTGTGGAGCCCCGAGGGCTCCGGTGAGTTTCGGACGTGTTCGGATGGATGTGAAGGGCTTTAGTTTTCTAGTTTTTCTTTGCTGGTGTCTCAGGTATCGCAAATGCAAGAATTTGTTCACATTTGTGAGAAATGCTTCGCAATTGCGAAGAAGCATGATCTGGGCAGGACTCGCATTTTCGAGATTTCTAGTCGCATTTGCGACCAGCATGCCTTCGCATTTGCGAATTTTCGGTCGCATTTGCGACCTTGATAGTGGGGAGCTCAGCTTCGCTTTTGCGAAGATCTTGTCGCATTTGCGACCTTTGCATTTACGAACTAGGTCGCAAATGTGACATATCTGCGACCTGTGCAACAACTTTTAATGCGAGACTTAGCTTTATTTCCCTTATTTCCCACTTGGTCTTGGATGATTTTGAGAGCATTTTTGAGAGGGGTTCCATCAACATTAAGAGGTAAGTGATCCCTATCGATCCTTTAGCTAAATACACGAATCATAATTAGATTTAACATGGAAAAGGGTGAGATTTATAGGATGTTTGAGTAAAACCTAGGGTTTTGATAAAAATGGGATTTAACCACGAAAATATTTATGGAATGGGGTGAAAATCATATATTTGAGTTCATGAGGTTATGGTAACAACTTTCTTCGAAAATTTTCAGAATCCGGGCACGTGGGCCCGGGGGTGAATTTTAGGAATTCTTCAATTGGGGTTGGGTAATTACTTTAATAGTTAGGATTGAACTTTTGAACGTGTATTGACTATTTTATATAACATTTGGCTAGTTTCGAGTCGTTTGGCACCGAATTGAGGTTTTAAGCACGATTTTGGACTAGAAAGTAAGCTTGAGACGAGGTAAGTCTCTTTTCTAACCTTGTAAGAGGGATTTATTCCATAGGTGAGTTGATTTAATATGTGCTTCTATTTGTGGGGGGCTACGTACGCATAAGTTGACGAGAGTCCGCACATAGCTACTAATTATGCTTATGTGGGTAGTCTTAGGTTTACAGCATGCCTTGTTGACACTGTTATTTGATTATGCTTATCATTTGCCTTGAATAGAGTTGAGAATGAAGATTTCAAGATTTAAAAGTTTCAAGTTTGAATTTATTACTTGCATCGCAAGTATATTCCACGAGCGAGGTAAATTCCACTACTCTCATGGCGTCGCAAGTATATTCCGCGAGCGAGGTAAATTCCACTACTCTCATGGGAGCGGGCGGTTCGCCTCGACAGGTTAATAGATACATGTATGGTTCGTGCCGTTTGACCCTCGGCAGTGCATACAGTTTATGTATATGTATTTTGGATTGGGCCGTACGTTCTCAGCATAATTCGTGCGAAAAAAAAAAATTTGGAGCTCAATTGTAATTGATATTGTTTTGTTGGCTCGAGAGGTTAAATGATTAAATAGTTAAGTGATGGAAATTTATTTGTGACCTACTATCGGTGAAAGGATTGTTTATTTATTTCTTGTTATAGAGTTCTATTATCATATGCATACCCCATGCTTATTTAGAATTTCAGTATTTTATTGTTAGCCCATAGTAAATGTCGAAGTTGACCCCTCGTCACTACTTCTTCGAGGTTAGACTAGATACTTACTGGGTACATGTTGTTTATGTACTCACACTACACTTCTGCACTAATCGTGCAGGATCTAAGGCAGGTGCATCTGGATATCAGTCCGCCGCGCACCCTTGATTACTACGAGACTTAGCGGTGAGCTGCCTTTCGAGCCCGTTCTGCAGTAGCCAAAGTCTTTCTTTTGCTTTTATTATCTGTCTATTTCACTTCAGATATTAGTGTAGTATTCTTTTGTATATTCTACTAGTAGCTCATACACTTGTAACATCAGATCTTGGTAATTAAGCTACTAGACACATGATGATTTTTGGTTATTTATTTATCTCATTTGCTCTTAAAAAATTATTTATCTCTCATTTTGTTAAATTTTCACTTCTTACTTAGGTACTAATTAAAAATCATCTATTTTCTAAATTGTTAAAAGAAACAATCATGTGGTTAGTTCACTGTTGGCTTGCCTAGCAGTAACGTCGGACGCCATCACAGCCTATAGGATAAATTGGGTCGTGACATAATATTTCTTGGCTCCGTGAATACTTACTTTGGTTTGAGAGTTAGAATGAGATTGTTCTTAGTGTATCATGTGCCATGCGTGGTGAGATTTTGTATAGTCCATGTTCTAAACTTGTTATTAACGTTAAAATAAGAAGTAAAAGCTAAAAATTCTTTTGAAAATTATTTTTTTTCCCTAAACGGACTAAAAAGGGAACTAATTCATATATATATATATGAATTTGGTTATATTTTTATTTTGAAAAAAGTTGAAAGTTTTACTAATAAATTTTTTTATTTTACTTGTAATACTATTTTAATTATTTTTTCAAATTTCAAATCCTCTATTAAGTTAGAGCCCGTTTGGCCATGAAATTTTTTTCGCTTTTTTTTCGAAAAGTTTACACTTTTTTTTTAAATCACTGTTTGGGCATAAAATTTTTTATTTTCACTTGAAGATGAATTTTGAAAATTTTCAAATATTTGAAAACTCCAAAAAGCATTGTTTCAAAATTTCACTTAGCTTGTTTGGATGGTTGTTACATATTGTTTTATAATGTATCATAGTGTATTGTATTGTACTGTACTTTATCGTTTGATGAATATAATGTTTGGATAGATTGTATCGTTTGCCGTTATTTCATGAAAATCACACACCAGCAATAAACTTGCAATATTATAAAGAAAAATTATAATACGGGATAAATTATTGTATAAAAAGTAGGGTAAATGATAAAATAAAATAATTTAATAATAATAAAGGGTGAGATGAGAGAAAAGGATAAGGTAACGACGCGACCATACCACGTCGGTTGCTACATAAGGTGGCACATTTCGTCGTTATGTAACGACAGATTTAACGATACGATACAATAAAACTTAAGTAACAATCAAAACAAACATCGTATTTAAAGTAACAATACGATACAATACAATAGGTAACAACCATCCAAACAAGCTTAGATCACTCATAAAAATTCAAAAACAATCCAAAATTATATTAATATCGAAACACAACTCTGATTGTCAAATACAATTTTCTTTTGAATTTTTATTTTATTTTATTTTTGTTTGGAATTTTACAATTCTTATGTCCAAACGCCCACTTAATATTAGAAAAAGGACTAAACTGTAAAATAAATATTCAATTGTAAATAGTGTTTCAAATTAAAGTTTAAAAATGAAATAAAATCCATTGCCAAACGGGGAAGAAAATATTTTCGCTGAACGGAAAACTTCGAGAAGCGAAATGGAGGATAACTTCGTCGACGGCGATCGGGCGACGGTGATGGTGACGAACGACGACGGAATCGACGCGCCGGGATTAAGAGCTCTAGTTAATGTACTTGTTTCTACCAATCGCTTTCACGTCCTTGTTTGTGCTCCTGACTCGTATGATCACTCACTCAAGCACTCTCCTTACAAAATTCATTGTGAATTTGTACGTTTTATGTTAATATTTACAACTATTTTTAGTTAAATTTCTGCAAGTATTTAAATGTAGCGACTTCTTAGGTTTACTTAGTTCGGTTGCTTGTATATATTACAATGATTTGTTGAATAATGCTTGAGGTTAACTTTCCTTATTTTGGGCAATGGGTGGTTAAACTAGGTAAATGGAAAAAGTATATTTTGTTCTTAAATGTGTTGAGAAAAAAAATGACTTTTTAACTTTTATTGGAAATACAAACTTTTACTGGCGTGTAGGGAGTTCTACCACTCCAATAATCCGAAATTTAGTGTTTTCAACGCAGGAGTGGACTAGGTCGTGTTTTGCAGGTTCAACTGAACCTGCTTTCAGCTCGAATTATGCATACATATGCAACAAATTATAATGTATACATGTAGTATAATAAGATCATACATATTTTGAACATACTGACTCTAAATCCTAGATTCGTCTCTAAACATGCCATGGCATAATTGATTAAAGGTGGTTTTAGAAGTAGGTGTGTAAATATTGATCTAATGATAAATGGCGGTGGTACTTGCTTTTTTATGGTTAAGTAGTGAAGAATGCAAAGAAAATATATCTATAATCGAGAAATCCCCCACGGCCAGTGGTGCATTGTTTGGAGCTCAGTGAATAATGTTCCCGTCCCTCTAGCCTTCTCCATTTAAATACCAGGCTTTTGTTTGCGGTAGGGTTAATCCGTGGCATGCGCCTAACCCATGCATCATGCAACACTCTTACCATTGGATCAAAGCCCGGGGGGGCGATTGCAGAGCATGTATTAGTTTTTAATAGTCTAAAATTGGGGTCTATATGAAATTATGCTACTTAATGATTAAAGTGAACATTGTTTTGCAACATCCCTGAATGAAAAAGGGATTTTATGAGACAGGCAGGTAACAAATTCGTATGATCGATGATCTCTCGGTTATTTGAGTTTGAATCGTTTGACTGCTCTCGTTTACTACTTTAGTCATGTCTTTCTTTAGGAAATCAGTTTTTACTCAATGCTTTGGCTTTTTGTATAGCTTGACAAAATTTTCATGTTGCTGTTACTTTTTATTTGAACATGTTGCATGATATTAACACTTTATATAGCTGAGACTGATATAATGTACATCTTACATGTCGGAGTCTAGCATAATGTGAATCTTTTATGATTTTTCAAAGGAAGGTTGGAGTTGAACATGTATTGTTTCACTTCAGCAGTATTGGTGAACTTAAATTTGCTAATTAGCTAATAAATATTATTTCTGGCAATTAAAAGTTTGGAGTAAGATCTGCTTGTTGTTCTTTACATGGTTGGCTCATTCCATGAACCTATTTGTCTCCTTATGGATTTGTTTATGAACATCTTCTTCCTTTTTTTCCCTTTTAAAACGGTAAGTCAATTGTTCATAATCACTACGTTAACTATAAATTTTTCATTTTCTTTGCTTCTTCCTGTGCTTCACAAGCGATAAGGAATATTTGCTTGTCTTTCTCACTCTATTTTGAGGATCTCCTCCAATTTTGAATTAAAAAATGGGGGTGGGAGTGGGGGGAAAAAGTAGCCCTTTACTGCATTGGCAGACTGCAAGTGACCCAAGTCTACTGAATGACTTGCTATGCACTACACCATTAATCAGAGAAGAATGAAACTTTGAGCGATTTTTTTGACTGTTTATGTTTTGGTCATTGATAACATGTTTACCTTTTGATTTTCACCTGCCATTTCTGCGAAAGGCAGTCTCTCTATCATTGCTCAATGATGCAATCATGAACCTAAGATATTTGTTTTCCCTATGTATGCCATTTTTCTAGTTGTCCCAATATTTGTTAGATTGCATTGTTTATTGTTTAAGTTATTATATTGTTAAGTTCAGAGATGAAGCTTGCAAAAATTCTTGGCTAGTGTTTGGCCATAGATTCCCAAATTTGTTTTGAAAAATTTGATTTGGTGAAGTTTGGTTTGAAGATGAAAATGTGTTTGGACATCAGTTTTCAAAACATATTTCACTTTTTTTTTTTTTGAAAAAACATGAAACATGACTTATACCCACAAGTTCTAAAAACTATCACAAATACCCAGCAGTACCTTCATCAATAACATTCATTATCATTATCACAACATAGTCCTGAACATATACAAATTTGGTACAAAATTACATTTTTATAATGAACTACATAATACACTATCAGATGACCGAGAAGACGAAGCAACATTGTTACAAAATAATAAATGGTGGGCGCTGTTATAAAATATAAAGTTTGGGAAAATTTTTAAAAAATGTAATAGTAATATTTTGGTCCAAAACCAACTCTTGAGCTGGTTTGGGATTTGGGTTTTGGGAATTTGCCAAAATATGGATAAAATTTATGAACAAACATGTATGTGCCAAAATTTTGGAAAAAATTTGGCAAAATCTATGGCCAAACGGGTCCTTGATGTCCAGCTTTACTGTTGAATAATGTTAAAGTTAGGAATTAACTAGAGTTTTGGTTGATTACTTATGCTCTTATATATTGCAATTTTTTCCAAATCTATCACTTGCAAAGTTACGTAATCGATTAAGACATTTGCTATTGGCTATGTGCTTATTACTACTTTCAGAGAAAAGTCAGCTGTTAGTCATAGCATTACATGGCGTCATGCCCTTTCTGTTAAGCAAGTGGACATTAGCGGAGCAACAGCCTTTTCAGTTTCAGGTCTGTTGCGATCTTCAACAAATAAATAATTTAGATATCTGGACCGAACTTTGGTACTTGACTTTTAAGTTTATTGGATTACTATCTCTAATATCAATGCCTCACAGCCCTTTGTTATATTAATATGCGAGATCATATTCTTGACACATAATTAAACAGACAAGTAATCAACTCCACCTCAATACCAAACTATTCTGGAAATTGAACGGACAAATAAAGGAGGAAGTCTCTCCTTTCTTGAGAACCTGAGTTTTGTGAGATTGTGCCACATAATTTAGCATTCTAATGATTTTCTATTTGAATAGATGAATACAGATGAACATAAGCTTTTAACTTAAAACTAAGAGCAATCTAGTTAAAGATAAGTTGTAATTTAGAACTGTGGATCTTTTCTTGGAAAGTTCTTTTCAAATTTTACTAGCAGCTAGCATATGTCATGGGGGATACTGGTCCAGAAATCAATCAAGTACAACCAAGAACATGATATATTGATATTATCCAAGCTTTCATGCTTCAAGATCTCGGATTTGAAGTAATAGAAGAAGATGAGAATGATGACTTTGCTTTGCCTTTTCTATTTCTTCTTTCTAACAGGAACTCCAGCAGATTGTACTTCCTTGGGAATCTCCAGAGCTCTTTTCCCTTCAGTACCTGATCTGGTAGTACAAGTATTTTGTTATTCACACTTCTGTTTGGAAAAGAAAAGAATATAAAAGAAAAAGAAAAAAAAACATCATTAATATGCATGACATGCACACAAAAGCTCTCTCTTTCCCCTCGTTTATATGTTTAAGTTGCCTTTTTAAATTATTGCTCCCCTCTTCCTCATCATGTCATCTAAGAATTTTGTATTGGCACTATGCAGTTTGATTTTCCATATTGCAAATACTTAGTTTTCTGTCTCCTTTATCACTTGATTACTAATTTATCCCATGCCAGGCTTTAGGTATCAATGCCTTGGGACTTTGCATAATTAAAAACTCGTTGGCTAGAACACTTGCAATAATCTTAATCTATTCTTTCAGGTGATCAGTGGTGTTAATATGGGTGACAACTGTGGCTATCATATGTTAGTAGATTTTCTTCACTAGCATTCAGTTTCTTTGTGGTGATGGTGAAGTATCTTGCTGCTATACCATTGTTCTCAATTCCATTGTCTGGGTGCATTGGGCTATTTATGTTATAATTCGTCGTTGCAACACCAACCCATTTATACCTCTTTCTATTAATTTCAACTATCTAATGAAAATGTAAAGAACATTCACTCAGCATTGTGTAATGTGTAAGGATAGGTGTCACGAAATTCGGTTTTGATTTTCAATTTTTGAATTTAAGAAATTACAATCCAAATCCAAACCAGATAATCACAGTTTGGGTTAATTTTTTAGAGTTTGGTTTCCAATTGATCGGTTTGGTTATTTCGGTTTTTGGTTTGAACATATACGTTGGGCTTCTTCTTCTCACAGATAAAAATAAAAAATGAACCTCCAAATAAAGTATTCATGTGAACTTGCTTTAATTATTCCTCATTCCCACCAGGAAATTTGGTAATTGTGTGTACGAATGCAAAGAGTAAAAAGCGATGATGGTGGTAAGTAGAAAAGAATGATAAGTTTACTTCTTTTTAGTATCAAAGTTAAACATGAATGTTGAAACCCTATTCATAAGTAGGCTGTTGGCCTTTACTGATCGGGCTAATGTCTAATGGGCATGTTTGGTTTGGTGGTTACGACCTAAGGGCAAAAATAAGGTATAAGAATTGTCGGATTTTCGAACATCCAAATTTTTTCGTCTCGAATCCAAAATCCAATCTTTTCAAAAATTAAAACCAAACACCAAATGTAATCCAAAAATTAAATCTAATATCCGAGAAATTTGGATTTCGGTTTTCCCCAAAGACCACAAACTATGCCCAGCCCTATCACATGTGTTGAAATCTCATATAAGTTCTTTATGCTTTGCTTAATTCATGGCGATTGTGTTGCAAACTGTTCTTGGTTCGCCGAATGGTACAAGTACTCAGTTCAGTTTCTAGATTCAGCTAGTGATGATTAAGCATGCTTACCATTTGTGCTAATATACTGGGCATGTAGCAGTTTTTGGTTCATCTATTATAGAATTTATTTGACTCTATGATATCCAAAAACCCAAGGTTTCTTTAACCTTAATTCAAATGACTCTTCTCATCCTGTCTTCTCCAAGTTTGCTCTTGTCACCTTTAGTCAAATGGCTCTTCTCATCCCTAAATTATCCACAGGAATTTTAACTTTGCATTTCCCAATGATGGATTTTAATTATAAAAATGAGCACATTGTATATCTGGGTCAAAGGGAATCCATACAGTCAACTGGCATTATCTTCTTGACTTTGTACTTTCTTTTAAATGATCCTTGAACATAAAATTGAAGCATAGTGTTTTGTCAAGTTAATTTGGTTTACTATGATTGAAACTCAAGCAAAATGAAATGTTAAACAAAAAAATTATTGACATTCGTAATTTTGTAGTTGCTTCTGTGAGAATTAATTTTGTACCTTTTGCTGAAATTGTCAGAGTATACTCGGGTACAGTGGCTGGCGCTAGGGAGGCTTTCTTCAATGGTATTCCTGCTGTGTCTGTATCATATAATTGGTATTCATCAGTGAACTTTTCGAGTTATTGTGTTTCATGCAGAGAGCAGCATCATTACCTTGTGTTTTGGTTTTGAGGGCCCTCGTGCACTCCAGATATTTTACATTTTTCGTGCCCCAGTGGTTTGTTTTCTTCATCAGTCGCTGTTCTTTATTTCCTTGGGATTGCTAACTACAGGGTTCGTGGAAAAAGCAATGTTAATGACTTCATACTGGCTGCTAAAGCTTGCTTACCCATCATCAGCGCTATATTGGCTGAAATCAAAAGAAACAACTATCCTCTAAATTGCTTTCTGAATATTGATGTGCCAACAGATGTCATCAATCACAAGGTAAACTTTATGCTAGCTTTGTTTTTGTTGTTTATGATAGAGAATCACCTAGAGAAGAAATAAAGTAGATACAAATGTTGGGATTCACTCGTCTTTCATCATTGGTGAAAATATCATGTAAAAGTTGCTCTTCGCTTTGATGCACTTTCTTGTGTGTGATCGCCTCCTATTGGCCCTGTCAACAGTCAGATTTGCTTTACTTCGTTTATTCACTGTTGGTCTCATGTTTTATTTTGATTTCTATTAACAGCTGAAGTTTGGCCAAATGAGTCATTTCAGCCCAACTGAAGCATGTCTCTTTATTAATTAAATAGTTAAGAATGGACAAGGTGGTTATGAACACACTGCACTGGTCATCTACTCTGTATGAACGAATCAATAGTCTCTTCATCTTTCTGTACTATAAAATTTTGTTAGATTATACTTATATACAAATGGAATAAAGCTTTTCCTAGATTGTGATTTTCCTTGTTCCCTGTACAAGTTGTAAGACAAGCTTTACTCAAGCCATCATAATGAGGCTGGTTCAACCACTATTTTGCCAATAGTAAATTTGAATGTTTGTCTATTTCAACCTGAGTTTCTCCCGAGGAGCTGTATCTTAAAACTTGAATACTTTGTTTTACGAACTGTTATCATTGCGTCTGTTTCAGCTACATCTGATAGGATAAGTGTTGTTTTTTCTCTTTAACCATTTCTTCAAAAGATTTATCTTGGTCTTTCTAGGGATACCGTCTGACTAGACAAGGGAAAAGTTTTGTCAAAATGGGATGGAGGCAAGTTAATTCTGAGCGAGAAGGAGGAAAAGTATTGTCCACAATGACTATGGAGACGAATCCATCAGAAAGTACAGAAGCTAGAGCTTTAAAAAATGCACCACAAGATCATCTACTGTTTAAGAAACAAGTGTGATACCTTTCTCTATTGTTGCTTGCTCCATTGCTGTCATCCTTGTCTCCCAGATCTTTCCCCCTCACGCGGGCACCTTACAAGAAATTGAGAACTAATGTTTTATGAAAACCTGGCAATTGGAATTAAATTAGCCTTTTGAAAGACGCTACTCTTTTATTGTATTACACACCAGATATTTATTTATTCCTGATTCTTTTGAAAGTTAAGGTAAAAAGAAAAAGAAAAGAAATTTATAGAGGTGTCAATGGAGTAATCTCTGTTGATTTTACTCTTTCCTTTCTAGGTTACAAGAATTCTAGTGGAGGATGGTGATACAGACTACTGTTCTCTCCGAGAAGGATACGTATGTACTATTGATTTATATGGTTGTCAGTCATTTGATGAGAACGACCAATGATTGGTATTGTCATTTATCACAGATAACTGTCACACCCCTTGGCGGCTTGTCTCCGGCAGAGCTAGATGCTGTTTCATTCTTTCAGAATTGGCTGCCCAGTGTTGTTGATCTTTACCCTTCCTCTGCTTTATAGTGCTGTAAGTTGGTCCCCCAAGTCAAACCCAATTCTGATGAGACCCTTACACTACTTGTTATATCATCTTTGTTTAGTGTGATAATGACATTGATTGGCTACTGATGCCATGTTTCTGTTTTCTGTTTTTGTGTTTGACATTGATTTTGCATTTTTGCTACCAAGGTGCTTAATTTTGTTTGGGGATATAATGGGCTTGAATTTTCTCTTCCCCAGTAAATTTTGACTAAATGTGAAAAAGTTATGATCATTGTACTACTAAGTTTACTTTTACATTCCACAGAAGTAAAAAGAAACTGGTTTCATCGATTTGATTATTGTTCATGTCTTCATTTCTGATAATGATATTCTTCATTGTGGTTAATCTCTGTCTAAGTTTGCTCTGATACAATGTGGGTTATAATGATCAATTTGCCAGATGAAAAGTTTGTAGAGATGAGACGAGATAAGTGGAGTTGAAAGAGCTAAAGCTGATGAGTCCACACAGAATGGAAAAAGTTAATGCATTTACATGTCATTCCAGATGTGGGTATCCTCTCCCTGGTTAAAATTCAGATGCATCTTTGTTTCATTTTCTGCAAGATATTCTCTCTAATGTTTCTTAGGCATTTACTGAGATCATAGAATTTGTGATGTAACAGATTTGGTGTATGTTCAAGCTTAAAGTTTTTCTACAACCCGTTTTGTCTGTTCTCCTAGTTATAGCTTTAAACTTAAACCAAGCGATTATTCTCATTTCCAGAAAAGGGATAAATTTTTACTGCTATATTCTCCATGTGATTGCATATGATCGACTAAAATCCCATTGTCTTATTTTATCTTTGATGATTTGCAGAATATATGTACTGTTAACAGTTTTAGTTTCGTTGTTTGTGTTGCAAATTTCCATGAGTTATGTTCTTTCTTTAGCAGTTTCACATGTATTATCTTTAGAGGATTTCTGAATCATTGTCAAACACTGCATCCCGCACGCATTTAAACGGTCTGCAGACTTAGCAAAATTGCAACACGTAGGGGAGAAGTAAATATAAGTTGCCCTGCTTTTGAGGGAGATCTAATCTCGAATCTTACCACGTTTTCTTTATTTTATTCTTAAATAATAAAAAAAAATAAATGGTGGTTTCACATGTGTTTATTCTTAAGTGATAAAAAAGTTAGGTGGTTGCAGACGTGTCCTTAGTCAATAGAGTATAAATTTCAATGTGGGATAGCGGGAGAAAAAGAAAGGGTAGATCTCATCATCTAGATTGATGTATAATTGTAACTTCACAAGAATCAGGAAGTATGTCGAAATGAAAACCACAGCTCAATCTAACGTCCTTATAGCCGGTTTGGCCAAGCTTTTTTTTGGCCAAAAGCTATTTTTTTTTTTGGTCAAAAGCACTTTTGGCCAAAAATTGAGGTGTTTGGCCAAGCTTTTGGAAGGAAAAAAAGTACTTTTGAGGAGAAGCAGAAGCAGTTTTGGAGAAGCAGAAAAAAGTAGCTTCTCTCAAAAAGTACTTTTTTGAGAAGTACTTTTAAGAAAAATACACTTAGAAGCAGTTTTTTAAAGTTTGGTCAAACACTAATTACTGCTCAAAAGTGCTTTTCAAGCTAATTAGCCAAAAACAACTGCTTCTCACCAAAAGTACTTTTGAGAAAAGTACTTTTGAAAAAAAGTACTTTGCAAAATAAGCTAATTTTTGCAGCTTGGCCAAACGGGCTATTAAGCTGCCCCCAAGTCAACTTTATCTTAGTCACAATAAGTTTTGAAGACCTTATCAATTATGACTCATTGACGGTTGAAACTGACAAGGCAACAAATGGGAAACGAAGCACCGGCTATGCAGAACCTCTTAAAATTGTCATCAATTTGCAAACAAAACATTTAAAGATTCCATCCTATACTGCAGAAGTCTGGTGTTTGAATTTCAGAAAGATCCTCTTTTCTTCTACCTTCTTGTCCTCCACTATTCCTGAACTCACTCGCATCACACTTATTTACAAGTATTTACCAAATTGCGAAGAACAACACACTCACAATAAGTGAAAGACATAATAATTTCAATAATATAAAGACTTTAAGGTGAACCTCACTCACAAAAGATTGAAGATGCAAACATGAATGAAGGGAGGGGAAAAAAAACCTATGTGGGACAAAAGTGTTGTAATCTATGTACATGTGACTGTAAATCTCCCCTTCTTTTTTTGTGCTTTTATGTAAAGACCCTCATTTTGGTCGTGGATGCGACTCCACTAGTATGGACCAAAGCACTTGAACATCTTCACAAGGGCAAGACTTAACATCCTCGTACAGGATATATATCCCTCTTCCTGAAAAACCAAGAATGAGAAATTTTTGTACAAAAGTATATACACATATTTCTTGAGCAACATTAGAGTTTTGTAAAAGAGAACGGAAGAATATGCAAATGCAGAGTTGCCAATTTCTAGATGAAATATATATAAGCATGTGTATAGGGCTGTAGAAAGATCAAGTCAATCGAACTTCTTAATGTTTGATTCAACAATAGGCTAACGGATTGGGCAGAACTCAGTGTTTCGGGTTCTAATTCTATATGGATGTGCAAGAAATAAGTATGGATGGAGTTAAAGACATTTCAGAATCCACAACGTCTAAATTTTGTAAATGAGAGCTAATTATCTAAGTGTACATAAAATTGAAACAGTATAAGAAGTAATGGAGGATCGGACATACTCTTCTTGGGAGCAGAGTGAAGACGAACCAAAAGCTTCTTCAATGGAGAGAAGAGGGATTGCAGCCACCCCATGAGGAAAAGAAGGTGTAGATGAAGTTCATGGTAGGTAAAATGGAAATAAGAGAGACTATAGGAGAAAGGAGGGGTGCTAGTTTGCTTAGACAAAGGGTGAAGTTTGGGTCACTGTCCTTATAAACATTTGCATTTGCCTTACAGACAAATCATGCATTCATTTCATTTCTTTCACTATTTTAGAACTTGGTGTTATGTCTCTATCATACCTCTCCCCTTGTAGCAGAAGTTATTGCCACTACCAATCACTTGTAGTTTTTACACTTTCTATGACCCCTCTGCTTTCTCCCTTCATTGACATCCCTTATTCTTCAAGCTACTCATGTAGTTAATACTCCCTCCGTCCTTTATAATCCGTTCCCAAAAGAATGATACCTTTTAATTTTAAAATACTCATATTACCCTTAATGAAATGATTTATACTACGAACTCCTCTTAGAACATGGTACAATTCGATGGCTACAGTTTAACAAAATATTTTTAGAAAGATTCTCAATTGGTAATCCAAAAATAGAAAGAATCTATATCTTCCCCGCGCATCGTGCGGGTACGGATACTAGTATATATTAAAAGGAGAGGCCAAAGCCCTCTCCTTAAGCCAAGTGGCAGGCTAAAAAAGTCACATGGCATAATTAGTTATTAATTAGTTATTTAGCTAATAATTAATTATTATTTTTGTATTTAAATATCAACAAAAAATAAAAATAAGAAAAAATAAAAACTACCACATGAAATAATCTTGTTTGTGTTCTATGCCATGGAATATGTAATTACTTAATAATTTTGGACACTATTTGCTACAATCTGACGCGAATTTACTTAGTTTTATGCTTAGTCAGTTATGGTGAGTATTTTGTTCGGTGTCTCTATCATTGCCTTAAAATAGATGTTAGATGTTGAACTACTGCGTTTAATCTTGTATGGGTCATGGGAATGCTGGAATTATTCGGGCCACAATTAACGAGCAGCGGCCAAATCATTTACAACAATATCCATAGATGAACTCCATAAGTTCTACGGCCTTACAACAATCTCAAACAACTCTTGAACATCGTAGCTTGCTTTAGGTGCGATTAATAAATTATTGTGACTATGGATACGATTTCCGTGGCATAGTCATGATACATAAATCCAAATTCAAGTGTGTATTTCATGTGGCTCGACCATAACTTGGAATAATAATAAAATTAACATGTTATAAATCGTGGGTGCGTTTCATGTGACGCGATTCACAAAATGTACGAAAATAAACAAGTGCGCGATATCACTACTTGTTCAAATAAATTCCATAAATGCTAAAAGCAGTTGATTGAATAATTAAAAGTGGTTAAAAAGTTCAAAATGTACAATAGGTTCTAAACTTGTAAAAGTTCAGATAATTAGGTTAATTATTAATAGTTGAGTGACCGTGTTAAAACCACGGAACTCGGGAGTGCCTACACCTTCTTCCAGGTTAACAGAATTCCTTACCCGGTCTTTTGGTTTCGCAGACTTTTAAACAGAGTCAAATTTCCTCGACTTGAGATTTAAACTAAACTGGTGACTTGGGACACCATAAATTATCCCAAGTGGTGACTCTGAATAAATAAATAATCCCATTTCGATTAATGTCACTTTAATTGGAAAAACTCCATACTCCCCCGGGAAAAAGGAGGTGTGACCGCTCTGGCGGCTCTACTGGGGCGACAGAACCCAGAATCTCTGGTTCAAGGTTCAAGAATTCGAGCTTAGAATAACTGTTATACTTCACTTTTATTTCTAATCTGATTTTTTACGTGTGAGCCTAATGTGCTAAATGCCGCTTTTTATCGCTTTGATATTGTTTGAACTGTATATAAATTGTTACAAAACTCTTCTTCTCTCCGAGTCTTCTAAATCTTCTGGGAAGTGCTTGCTGGCGTGACTTCTTTTATGTTAGTGTCATACCCAAATTTAGAACGAGGATCGGATTAGTTACAAAGCCGGATGACCTTTCGGTTATCGGTACATTGCCCCCCTCGGCTCGAGTTGTCCGCTCGGATAAGCCAGGTCTAGAACAATACACCCAGGTTTTTAAACCTAGAATAACATAGCCTCCTCCGGATCCCTAGTAGGAACGCTTGTTTGCATCACATGCATTTGACTTTGGGGACTCAACACACGGGTTGGGTCCGTGTAGGACAGGTGTACCCGAAATAAAAAGACAATCCTAATGCATTTTACGTGCTACTTGTGCATTTATTTGCTTCGGCTTGCATGTTGACTGGCTTCTAGAATAGGGAAGAAAAATCAAGAAAAATCAAGATTGAGGTAGGAGAGAGAAAATTATCCGTTTCTGAATACCCCGGTATTTAAAATATTCCGAAACTGTACCGATTTTTTTTTTTTAAAAAAAAGAAGTCATTTAAGAAAAAAATTCATGTTTCCTCTGTTCCGTCAAAACTAACCGAACTACGCGGGTCTGATTTTCACCGGATGTGACATATGTAGGCAAACCTCATCGGTTCCGGCAAATTTTTTTCTTTAATTCCTTCTTTAGAAGCACTTCCTTAGAAAATTCAAAAAAAAAAAGATTTTTAAACTCAAAAAATAGTTTCCTTTTTTCTGAAGTCTTTCATACAGAAAAAAAGAAATATTAATCAATCAAAAATCAAAATCCAAAATATGGTTTCCTTTATTTTGAAGTATTTTTCCCAAAAATTCGAAAAAAAATCAGGAAAAAAGAATCCAAAAAAAAGTTCCTTTCCTTTTTTAAAAGCCTTTCTTTCGTAAATGTCATAAAAAAATTAAAAAATTGAAGTCCAAAAATATTTTTATTTTTCTTTAGAAGTACTTTTGTAAATTTAAAAACAAAAAACTCAGAAATCCAAAATATTTTCTTAAAAGTCCCTCTTTCGAAAATTAAGAGGCAACATCCAAAATCCAAAAATATTTTCTTTCTTTAGAAGTCTTTCATTCAAAAAAAAAATCAAAATCAAAACCAAAAATTCAAAAATATTTTCTCTAGAAGTCTTTCTTTCGACATTTCAAAAAATGAAAATCAAAATCCAGAAAAAAGTAAAAAGTATTTTCTTTCTTGTTTAGAAGCCTTCCTTTCGAAAATTAAAAAAAAAAATAAATCAAAACCAAAAATCCAAAATATTTTCTTTCTTCTTACGAAGTCTTTCTTTCGAAAATTTCGAAAAAAATCAATCAAAACAAAAAATCAAAAAATATTTTCTTTCTTAGAAGCTTTTCATTCAAAAAAAAAGAAAAAAAAGAGAAATTCAAAAAATATATATTTTCTTTTTTTCTAAACGTTTTCATTGTCCGAGTGTTATATAAAAGTTAAAAAAGAAGAAGAGAGAGTTAGTTTATTTACTCCATTCTTGATTTTTTTGAACTACGTAATGATCTGATTCATGTGGCGTCATGATACGTAGGCAATCCTCGTGGGATTCGATCATAGCCATAAAATTTATTGAGTGAAAAATAAACTAAAAAAAGAGAAAGAAAAAATTGAGTGAAAAGAATGAAAAGAGTGACAAAAATAAAATAAAAGAGTAACAAAAAAAAAGAGAAAAACAGAGTGCCAAAAATAAAAGAGCGACAAAAAAAAAATCATGAGTAATTAAAGAGAGGCAGAAATGAAAGAAAAGAGGTATAGAGTGAAAAAGGTTAGTTAAGGCTGAGATGAAACATGCAACCCTTCAAAGACATGGTAGAAGTGTTTAACTACTTAGGTGCATTGCATCCTAACGTGCGATTTCCTATCTGTTAAGCGTCTAATAGCTAACAAGGTTTTTGGGTGTGCAAATTAGCCAGGTTCTGTTCAGGTGGTTGATTTTGTTGGTAATCTGGCTTCCTATCCTTACTTCACAATATCCAAAGGAAAGGTTCCTATAGCCTCCGAAAGTCATCTACCAATTATCAATCCTGAGTTTTCTTTTCATGAAATTTTCTTATAGTAGACATCCTATATTTTATTGGGAAACTTACACAAATGTCCCAAATAAGAGTAAAAATTGCACGGGGCGCACTATTTAGTCGCCCCCATTTAATCTATACCTATTTTTTTTTTAAAGTTTTAACTTGTACCCACTTTTTAAAGAACTTCAGCCCTCTTTCTTCTCCTCCTTCGTTTTCTTCTTCTTCTTTCTTCTGCTGTTGTTGGTGCTGCTATGAAACTTCAGTTCATGGGATGATTGCCATAAGTATATTTATCAGATTATTTAAAAACAAATTATAAATAATTACGTAAGTTAGTAGACAATAATTTGTGAATATTTTCACTTACGAGAAGTTTAAGGTCACACTTAGTGATTCTTTTCATGATAATTCTGTTCTTTTCACGTTTATTGTTTCCAAAATTTATGATTTAGATACTGTTGGCAATCTGATTATTTTATAGTAGTAATACACTATGAAAGAATAAGGTGATTATTTATCTAGTATGTTAGAAAGCTTTTTCAAAAACTTCAGCTTATATAGTGCTGAAGTTTTTACAAATGAACTAAATAACTTCAGCATCTTCTGCTGAAGTTTTTGAAAAAGCTTTATGACAAAACTATTAAATCCAGGACAAAAAAACTTCAGCTTATTTAGTGCTGACAAATGAACTAAATAACTTCAGCATCTTCTGCTGAAGTTTTTGAAAAAGCTTTATGACCAAAACTAATGAATCAAAGACAAAAAAAATTCAGCTTATTTAGTGCTGAAGTTTTTACAAATGAACTAAATAACTTCTGCATCTTCTGCTGAAGTTTTTGAAAAAGCTTAATGACAAAACTAATGAGTCCAGGACAAAAAAACTTCAGCTTATTCAGTGCTGAAGTTTTTACAAATGAACTAAATAACTTCAGCATCACAAAACTTCAGCTCCTAGAATGCTTAAGTTCAGCAATTACAAATAAAAACTTCAGCAAACAGAGAACAAAACTTCAGCACTAGAATGCTTAAGTTCAGCAATTACAAACAAAAACTTCAGCACACTTGGTTCAACAATTTTTGCTACTTCAAGCCTGTCTACTAGAATGCTGAAGTTTGCGTGATTGCCTTTGCTACTTCAGGGTCGTATGCTGAAGTTACGCGAAAAAGTGGGTACGCTTGCAATTTTTTTTGCAAAGCGGGAACAAGTTAAAACGTGACCCAAAAAGCGGGTATAGATGCAAATGCCCCCAA